AAGGTTCTATTGCAGGTTCCAGCTGCCCTTCCCCTGAAGATAGTCTAGGTTCTGATGGGAGGTGATGATCCCTCCAACTTACCAAGTACAGTGGTCTGGTGTGCCTTTATTGCAGAGATTCTCTTCACTTTTCCAGTGGGCTTGTTTTCATCAGAGAGCCTGAGAGAGGCCCTCTCTCTGTTGTTCACTTCTGCAGCTCAGGACAATGGCTTTTATGTTCCCCTGTGCCTCTGTAGTGTGAAACCAGGTAGCTGCACAGCCAAGAGGCCAGAGGCCTGGGGTGGGGGAGGGGGTGGGGGCTGTTGTTGTAGGTGCCCGTGCCACCAACTGGTGGGCATGCCTGGGGGCCGGTCCTCACCATGTCCCTGTCCGTGTCCTGGTCACAAGTGGGCAGAGCGAGCTGGTGGCAGTCAGTCTGCAACTACTCTTCCCGTGGCCAAGCTGGCGGCTGGTGGACTTGCCCGGGGGAGGGGGTTCCTCACTGTGTCCGTGTCCTGGTCGCAAGTGGGCCTGATTTCTTATTCATTTGCGCCATCTGGAGTGTTCAGAGTCTTTCCCTCTCTCTACTCCCAATCCTACAGCCTAGACTGGAAATTCTACAGGCTGCTGGATTGGCACTAGGCCTTAAAGATTCTGTTGTCTGATCACTTTATTTCACTGGCACCACCAAGCTAGCTAAAGCTAGGATCTCTTTGCATAGTACTGTGCAAAATTTCACCTGTATCTTCCAATCTTCCCTTAGCATACTTGGTTATTAGTCACAAGTTGCCATCTATTTTGCCTAGGAATACTCTCCTCCTCTATATCACTCCTTTCCGGATGATCCAAAACATTGCTCTGCTTCTCCGCCAAAACTTTGCCATCCTTCCTTTACCGCTCCATTCAGAAATCCAAACCCCAAGGCTTGGATGCTTGCCTTGTTGTGTCAGCAATTCCTCACTTTAACCCCCGTCCTATTCCCAGGCAATTGTGTTCAAATGTGATTGTTTCATTTACCTATGCCAGAGCCACCTTTTAATTTGTTTTCTATGCCTTGAACATCCTTCCTACTCAGTTCATTTTACTATGGCATTAATTCTTAGCTGTATTTGTTAAACAACGCTTTCTATTACTTTTCTCACATAATCTTTAAAGATGAGCAAACAAAGTCACGTTGGTGAAATATTTTGACCAAGATCACATAGCTAGTAAATGGTGGAACCAAGATTAGAACCTTAGTCTGTTTTTAGACATCGAAGTTCTAACCACTATGCTATATTAACTTGTTTCATGTAACTGTTCAGTATTTGTTTGCAGTACTTATTTTCTTTGTATTATATATAACAGAGCCAAATGTTTGCCTTCTATGTAAAAGCTAAAACTATACAATTTCTAGAGGAAAACACAGTATAAAAAGCATTGTGATCTTGAGTAGGTATGTATTTCTTAGAATTTTTTCAGAATCTTCTTAGATACTTTCTTAGATACCTAATCAAGTATTTCTTACTACTTCTGATCCTCAAAAGACAATTTTAAGTGAATAAAAAGATAAGCTGTAGATTAGGAGAAACTATAACACATGTGACCAATAAAGGACATGTATGCAAACATATGCAGAACTCACAACAGTCAATAATAAGACAAATGACCAAATAAAAGTGGACAAAAGATTTGAACACATGCTTCACCAATGAAGGTACATGGAAATAATAAAGGTGCTCAAAAGTCATTATTCATTAGGGAAATACAAATAAAACCACAATGAGATACCACTGCACATGTATAAGGATAGCTAAATTAAAGAGACACACTACCTTAAATGTTGGTGAAAAGGTGCCACAACTGGGTTCTCATGCACAGATTTACTTGGAATGGCCCCAAACTGGAAACAACCCAAAGTTCCATCAACTGATGACAAAAAAACAAGAGTGGTGAAGCTGTGCATAGATTATTACTCGGCAAAGAAAAGGGATTACTCACGTAAAAAACAGGATGTAACTTAACATAATTATGCTGATTGTAAAAAGCCAGAT